TTCTTCTGCTGTGATTGCATTTTTCTGCCCATTCATTCAGGAGCACTGTGAGTCACAAGCACAGGTACTTTGGAGCTGCACCTGTGCACACAGCAAATGTGTGCAGAAAGTGCATGTGTGTCTTTCTTCCTGGGCATGTGCCCATTTAAATGCATATAAGGCTGGGGGGTTTTTTAGCAATCAGTAATCAAGTTTTCTGCGCGATTTTCAGGGCAGGCTCTGAATATGTCAGTTCACATTGGCAGATGTCTCATAGTGGAAGACTGAAGGGGACAAGTCCAATTCTCAGTCCAAAATCTCCAATAAAATCAATATGTCAATAAGCAAATGAGGGATTAGGTTTTGTGTTTTCAAACCATTTTAAGAAAGGCAGAAGTAGTGTGAGTATATAGAAGTGAACAGCAGCCAAGTATATTGGACCTTGCTTGGTGTATTATTTTGTCTTTCTCTTCTTTCTTGGTTAATCCTTCAAAGGGACAAACATTGAGCAGGTCAGGATGGGAGGCAAAACAGTCCATCTGCTGCATTTGCCTTCCACCAGCTTAATTGCCATGAAATATTCTGGCTGTTTCTCACAGTCTGCTAGCACTTCTAGCCAAGCTTTTATAGCAAATGTCAGTGACATGAAACAAATGATCCAGCAGTTGTTTTCAATAAGAACAACTAATGCAGACCAGGTGGGGTATTGCTGCTTTTGGTTTTTATAAATGGGATCAGACAGAACTTACAGCGAGTGTGAAGTGTGTGAGGGGAGAGAGCAGGTAATGTATCACTCTGATTTAGCAAATGGACTGTGAGTGGTGGTGAAGAGGGAAACATGCAGATGTTAACGTTTTGCAGGACATCTCTCTAGGATCAGGATCAGTAGACTTAGATGATAACGGGGTGGAGGTATCGAGTAGGACTGAGATGCTGCTAGTGTGTTAGAAGTGAGAGTGCAGTCTATCACCGGAGCTGGGGAAGGAGAAAGGAGCCTTCAGCATTCGCCTGTGTGGTCTAGGAGAGAAATTGTCCTCACTTACAGCTGAAGAACTTTATTTGCAAAACTGTAATTATGTGTTGAGGATGTTTTGAGTAAATAGGCCCATTTGTGCAGGGCCACTTGAATTTTCCAGTGGCTGTCCTTCAGAACCCCTGTGCCTGACTCTTTTCTTTGTCATTGCTGCATGTATCCTCTCCACTTGATTTAGCTTTGGTTGCCCAACAAGCAGTAGATTGGCCATAATAACTTTGAGATCAGAGTAGTCTGTACACCACCTGGGAGTCAGGTTTTGAAAAACACCTTTGGAGGTTCTGAAGCAGAAAGTAGTTCTGAAAATGCAGTTACACATACAGAGGCTGAAAAATAAGATTTGGCTTTTCCTACTCTAAAACTTGTGTCCTTTTGCCTCTCTCTTTAACCTTTTAAACTCTTCTAGTATTTTTTTCAACTTTCTGCTTCTTTCTTGAACATTCTTACCCCCATGTTCTTGTTTAACAGCTGCCAAGGAAAATAACCTTTCAGGTTGTTTTGTCTATTCAGGGATAAAATGCTTCAGAGACCAAGATTAGCATTGTACCTATTTCCAACCAATTTTATTTTACTTTTAAGTTTCCTCCTTTGTTAAGGTGTTCCTGCAGTGACAGAGAACTTGGGTGATCACGTCCTGACAATGACATAAACTGTATTCAACTTTAACCTTCAGATCCACCTCCACTATGATGCACACATTTCCTTTCCAGTCTTGCCTTGGTGTGTAAACAAGCTTTTGATTACAGGGAAAATGGACAGACTGTGGCTTAGAAGGAAAGGGGGGAAAAAAAGCAACAGTTTGCATTTGTTAGCGAAGAAGTTCTTTTATAAATGAAACTTCTGAGATGTGAAACTTCACTCTTGAAAAAAGAATTTGTTCTGTAACTTGGTGACCAACTTTCTGAATCAAGTTTGCAGGTTTTAATTTATCAGTTATTCAAATCAACTTAGATGTGGTTAATATAAGCATATATTTAAGCCTAACTGTATTTTAAGAGCAACATTACATCCTATTCTTTTACAAAGACCAATACTGTTCTTTATTGATATTCTGTACTGAACTTCTCCTTGAAAGCTACTGCTTTGTAATTTCTATGCCAGCCCACATATATAAAAGCAAAAACCTTACATAAAGAATTGTTTAGCAAGATTTGAAGGGGAAGTGTGATGTGATGGATATTTTGTTTTATGAGTATGGAGCCCAATGTTTTGTTTTATGAGCACTGAGCCTAAACCCAGTATCATTCCCAAAAGTCAACATGATGGATGAAGGAGTGCATGTTAAAAGTCTATTTCTGTTGGGTTTTTTTCCTCAGGTTCTGCTGCTTGCGTGTGCAGAAGATTTAGAATGTGTCCCTGGATTCCAGCAGAAGGTTTTTTATATTGAAAAGCCATTTCAATTCACAGAGGACAAGCTGGTTCTGAACTGTATGTTATTTTCATATATTACTATTGTGCAAAAATCAGAATTGTTTATGTATTCATTTCATTCCTGCCATTTATCAGAAAGGGGTTTTTGTACCTAGGTTTTTGAATATTGCCATGATTCTGTCTGGGTTCCCCTGCATTAATCCTATACCTCTACAGACTTTACTCTGCTTCATGTATTTGAGATGTCAAAATACAATATATAATCATTTAGGACTATATGAATATTGTGAAAACTTAGAATCATTCACTTTTTAAAAATTACATTTACTCTGAATTTTTTTATAGTCTTACCTGTAAGCTTGGAAATCAGGACTTGTCTATCAACATTTTACTATTAAATAATCTCTGTAACTCAGATTTAAACATTTACGTCTTAGAGGTTTTAATCAAAGTCAGTGCAAGTCCAAGTGTTTGCATGAAATTCAGAGGAGGCTGCATGAAACTTGGTATTATCAGTGATAACAAAGTGTGACTACACTGGGATGTTCAGTAGTATTTCCAATGACCAGGTGTCACATTATGAAATCCAATCTGGCACTGTATACTCAAAGCATTAGACTGAAGGAGATTTAACTGTCTCTCAGTCCTGGTGCTCGTTCATTCCAATACTTCAGTGTTGCAACTTGTAAATTCTGGGGCTTTGGGACTTCCACACTGCCAAAGTATGGTAGTACTTTGTCCAGTGGTCAAGGACGCTCAAGACTTAACAAAGATATTAAGTGCTGCCATTTTCATAACTTCCAAACATGACAGAATTTTGGTATTTGATATATATTATTAATAGATTATTTTCATGTTTGGCTGCTTGGTGTTGAACCAAGAATTCTTCTGGTGTACAAGATTGGGCACCTACGTACAATATTTAGAGCTTACAATGTGATACATATTAGTAGCTTGTTGAAACCAAGAAATGCAAACCAGTATCACTCATTACATGCCCACATTTCCCACATCAGTTCCTTCCAAATATTCCTACTACGTATTGATGTATTTTCATTGTTAGGCATGTTTGGCTGAAGGTATAATCTGTGCACATTCACTTTTAAAATAGCACTAACTTTTCAAAATGAAATGTCAGAATTAGTTGCCAGAGTCTATTGAAAAGACTCTATTAAACTGAAGTCATTCAGCTTTTAACAGTGCTAAAATAAACCTTTAGGATAACATTTTTAGTTGCAGCTTTCGATAAGTTCCTTAGTCTGTGTTGCTTTTTCACAGGAAATTTAAATAATGACTAGTAATACTACTCAGAGATGTGAGATTGTTTTGCAGTTTAGGAAAGAGATGTCAAGCTTCTAATTTCTTTGGGCAATTTTGTTTACTTTGGAAATCTTATTTTAAGGAGTTGTCAAACACATCAATCCTACATGGTGAGAAGCTGAAATTCTTACAAATATCACAGATCTAATAAACATACAGAGTTGAAGACCTATATGAAGGAAAAGCAGTATTAAGAAGTTAGCATTAAATTGAATAAAAATAGCATGTGTTGTGTTATTTGGCTGCTTTGGAACTTTGAGGCTGTAGTATGTCTGGCCAGATCTCCTGCTGCTTTGGGAAGGATCACCTAAAGGATGTGTTGGTTAAGCCTAACCGACTGGACTGCTCTGTGGTCACTCAGCAAATTGCACTAGTGTGAACTACCACAATAATTAAGACACCATCATTAATGTGAGAGGGAGGGAAGAGCAGGAGGAGATTTAGAAATGCCTGGAAACAGTCTTTGGAATTAAATTATTTTAATAAGCAGACACTAAATTGGCCTAATGCGCAGTGTTCGACAAAGGCAAACTGTCAACACGTGATTCTGGGTAATTCAATCACTCCTAACCACTGTGTCCTTCATGCAGCAGCTTTAAACCTCTGCACACTTTCTTCATTTTAGCTGTCAACAGAATTGATATTTTTAATTGTCTGTTTGAACACACTTTGCATGCTCTTGCATCTTTTTATACCCATTACCCAAGAGCAGAGTAATTTAGCAGTTGCGTTGCAATGTGAGGCTTACCAAGGCAGTGTAAATTAATAGAGCAAATATGCAAAGCAGGACTACAGCAGTGATTGTTCTTGTAGTCCTCAATAAGCCAAGGAGCTCCTTAATTCAATTCTGAAGTGCATTAAAACAGTCTTTTTTCTTTTTTTTTTCCCCTTTTTCAATTTAAACAAGGACCCACTCTAAGTTTCGTTGCTAATATCTCCCTTGTAATTAAATATAGGTTATGGCTGATTCTTGTGTATTTATTATTTCTACGTATGGCAATGTTAATTATATTTTTACATTTGCTGTTGGGAAGAAGGAAGAGAGGGCCAGACTGAGGTTATGGAATGTTCTCTTCTTTCTTCTTCTGATTTGTCACAATTCTTATCAAAGCCTACTTATAAGGTGGCCAGAACAAGTCAAATTGTTGTCCATATGCTCCTCCCCATTGCTTTCACTGGAATCCTGTTGCTCTTTCTTAGTTCTTTTCTTGCTTTACTCAGGCTGAATTGGCTTTTTAATTCTTATTTATTTATTTACCTCTGCATCTCATTTTACAGCAACCTCCAGATTTGGGTCATTTCATTTTCCCATTTTTGTCATGTATTTTTTTTTTTGTCATTTCATTTTCCCATTTTTGTCATGGTTTTTTTTTGCTAAAAGTGACTCTTTTTCCTTCTCATAAATTTTGCTTTCTGTGACCACAACCAAAATCAGGCATTGCTCTTCTACTTTTTGTCTTCCCATTTTTTTTCTTTCTCTGTGTGCAGTTTCCTTAAACCAGATGCTCCCTTGATATAGTGGGAAATGATCCATAGATGTTCACTTTTGGGAAATAGTAGAGGTTCTGTCCACATAATTATTATTTTAGTGAGCAATTGTGTTACTGTTTTTTAATTCCTCATAACTCTTTTTACTTTACACCTAGGACCATCTTTACAATCTCAAATAGAGAAGATCATCAAGATCACTACATTCTTGAAGGGCTGTTAATTGACAGCATTTAATTACAGGTTTTACACCTGTCAGAAACACTTGTGGCATGAAATGCTTCCCCATCAGAAAACTTGTCTTTGGCAAAGGTATCAGGTCACTGGTGCTGACAGGTCACTGGTGCTGACAGGGCTCTGTCTTGCTGGGGCTGATAGAGACTTCCTAATCAGACTCATCAAATGTGGAAATGTAATTGTGTTACATTAATCACGTTTGTACTTAACATACATCGGTTTTGGCTTTTGGGGGTATTTTTAATTGACAATGAATCAAATAGTGCACTTGAAAAATGGAGGCAATTAACATAAAGCATGAGGTGATGTGTTGGGCATACTAAACTGGGGAATGCATTGCCAGGGCTTGAAATGTCAAAACAAAGAAGTTTTGACCCTTACTTGAAAGCTTTAATTTGGATGTTAATTAATGGCTGACCTCTTCTGTCTCTTACGTGATAGATTGCATGTTCAGAGCTTGGACTGCTTCAAGATCAAGGCTTTAGCTATCCACATTTGGGCACTTTTTTCTTCTGTGGATTTTAACAAATACTTTTCTATTCAACTATATTGAAAGTGGTTGTTTACTCGTATGATGTGAAATATCTTACACTGCTCATTAATGCTTAAAAGTAGTTCTTTTATTGTCTAGTAGCCTCCAAGATTTCCTTTGTTCCAATTGAATAAAGCCTGTGCAAAGATCAGAGAAGGCCATTCCTACTAATACACAGCCATGAGTGCACACAGATCACAGTGCTGATCGCACTCACATCAAAATATTTCCTGTTGATTCTGAGCTGATGCCATGTGAGATTTGTGATTTATCACATCCACTCTTCCCACTGATGACAATGCCATTTGACTGTACAGATGGTCTCTTCCTGTGACTCTTTCATGCTACCAGTAGTACTGCTGTTGCTCTCTTGTTCATTCTGATCCATGCAGTGTGTGCTATCTCACACGCTCCATTCATCTTCCCTGCTTCCCTTTTCCCAAAGCTTACATAGAGCCAAGGTGGAAGCCTAATTCAGCATACTGCAATATGCCAAACCCTCTCTGGAGTTTTGACATGAGGT